TCTTAATCAAGTTTTATTAATCTGATAATCCCACAGCTCATCCGTCTGTCGTTTTCACTGAAACGTTGATTTATCTCTGAAACATGAAATATTTAAGTGATTTAACATGAAATCTGACGGTGCGTGAAAAGGTTCAGCTCATTCAGGAGGTCCGGCCTGCGGCTCTTAGTTTTAAGAACTTTTAGACATTTTTAAATATCGTCCTTGTTTTAAACGAAGAATTTCATCAAACACTTTGTTCTTTGTGAAATCTGCTTCAGCTACTGGCTCTGTTTTAGCCTTCTGCTGCTCTTAGCCTTTAGCTACTGTTTTAAGACTTTTCGCTGCTGTTCTTGTTGTTTTAGCTTCAGATTTCCTAGTTGTAGCTACAGTTTAGCTGATGTTAGCTTGCATTTAGCTCGTGTAATGTTTCCTACAGTCAGAGGAGGTCTCTACAGGAAACCTAGTTTTCAGGTGGAGTCTCTTGTTGTGGACTCTTCAGGTCTGGAGATGGCCTGGCTGCTTCGCCCTCCGGAGCTGGTGAAGACCGGCGAGGTGTTCACCGTCATCTACTCCGTGACGGCCCGGGACTCCTTCTACCACTGGGCTGTCCAGAACCGCGTCTTCTCACAAAGGTGACCTGGTGCTGCTGGTGCTGCTGGACCTGTGTGACCCAGACCTCGTCTTTGACTTGGACTGGACCGTTCCCTGGTTTTAGTCAGAACCGGTGTGTTTCTGTGCTCAGCTCCATAACAGACGCAGCCTCAGCTCGGAGGTTCTGTGAACACCACGAATGTCCGGCCAGCTGGAAAGATGCTAACGGAGAGAACTGCTGCATCCACCACGCTAACATCCACTCCTGCCCTCTGGGATACATGGTGACCTCGTGCTGCTCCTCGTGTCTCTTTCCTTCCGACCCGAGTTCGGCTGATCAGAGCAGAAAAAGATTAAAAACGTCACATTAAATGTAGTTTTGGCACCAAAACATGGAAGACTGGTCCCTTCATTTCTACCTGACATCTCTACGACCTTTGTTGTCTAAAAAGCTCCGTCTGTTTTATTTTAGTGACATTTGGGATGAAATATTTAATACTTGGTTCTTCATAAAACATTTTGACAAACGCAGTCTGAAGACTTCTCCTGGTTTCTGACAGACGACGGAGAGCATCTGTGGACCGTGGATCCCCGACGATGGAAAAATCTTCACCCACACCATCTCCACCTCGGGCAGGATGACCCAAACCAACTGGACTGCAAAGGTACCGCCGACCGTTTCTGTGCGTTTCAGCCAACACGAGCAGTTTGTACACGAAATAATAAAAATGATCAACTAGTGAGAGAAATGTTCGAGACGTTCCGAATGTAAAACTATTGTTTTAAACTAATACAAATCAACATATTCTGTGCTGCAAACTGTAGCAAAATGTACTGAATGTTACCCAACAGTACTGTAATTAACATAAAACAATAAAGACTTAATATTTCTTTCTTAAATACACTAAAACAACTTTTCCGTTACAGTGTCTGAGGTTTGTGCTGTCAAAATGTGCCATCACTTATAATTTTAATAAAAATACACTTGAAAAGAAGTGATCTGACTAACTGCTAGTCTAATGTTATTAAGTATTTTCCATCATACTTCATTGCTTGTAAGAAAAATATGATTTATATCATTATATGCTGATGATACACTGCTTTATTATTTTTTAGATCTATGTTCTTTTAGACTTTATTAAACTTTTTAAGATATAAACTAATCAGTCTAGTTTATAAGAAACTTTAAATCAACTTTTTTTTAGATTTCGGGGCAAAATTCTTCAAATTTTAATTAGTTTTCTTTAACTTCTGAATATCTTGTTTGCTAAACCCAACACATTGTCTTGCAGGTGGTTCTGTTCCATCCGGGCCTAAACTCACTTATTGCTCACATACGAGTTGGCACCATGCAGGCGGCACTGGAGGCAAAAAGCACGGTTCTGCCTGCTGTAGGTGCGTCTAACTGCTCTGAGTTCAGCCACGACTGAAAAAACAAGGTGCTGTTAAAACATCATGGAGGCTAAAGCAGGTTGGAGTTGGTTTAAAACATGTTATCACTGTTTCTGCAGTCTGCCTGCAGCTGTAACACAAGAAACCCCAACTGACCCCATACACCAACAAACCACAATTAGTTATGGCTTAACCTCCAGCAATGTTCTAGTAGAAGGCATCCCAGAATCCATTTTAGACGTCTGATGTTTGGTCCATTATACTTTGACCTTCACTGTTTACCAATGTCTGGCAGAATCAATAAGAATTGGTTAATCAATGGATTTCCTAATATGCTACTATCATTCCTCCAAAGTGATCTCAGTCCAGACTGGTTTCAGTTGTGGTTTTAAAAGCTGAAACAGACCAAATGATATCAGACAAGCAGGGTTTCTCTCTACCTTCTAGAACAATATCTTCAAAGAACAACTCAACACAACAAGACCACAGTTACGTTTGCCTGCCCTAGTTGCACTCCTGCTCTGCGTATGTGTACACCAGGGTTTCTTACTGATACCAAACCGAAGGCTGAACAAGATTTCCAGCTTGTTACTCATTCTAATCCAAAGCTAAATGGGAAAATGTAAAGTACAGTATCAAAGGTCTCATATGGCTGTGGTCAGTGGTCATATGCATTACCAACTAAGATTTCAGTAATCTTTGGACAACATGAGCAGATTATCCTAAACTTTTCTTATTTCAGTTTGTGGTAATAAAATCTGTGAGGAGGGCGAGTTTTGTTCCACGTGTCCGGCCGACTGTGGCGAATGTCCCATGACTCCTACAACCAAGGTGGCCATTGGCTTGCCACTCAGCCTGCTCTGTCTTTCCTCCATACTGACTGCAGTGGTGAGAGCTCAGACAGCCAAAATCTGTGAGCAAAACCTTTTGACTTAAAAGTAAATTAACATGAAACAATGTTTTAGTGGTTGAGGTACCAGAAAGAGAAGCTGCTGTGGGACGAAAGCTGGATCATTGACTTCTCAAAGATCAAACAAGGTACTTTTCTACAGCTGTGTTTTTAAAGTCTCTTTATCCACCCAGAAGAACGAGTTCTTGTCTCTCCGTCTGTAGATCAGGAAGCTCATTTGACCATGGGCAGTATAATAAGTGTGCCGGTTGGACACAGCCACAGCAACGCCAGCTGTGTAACCGCGCTCAGCTCCTGTACGGGCCAACCAGGGACGCGGAAGGGCCCGTTTACCTGCACTGGGATTTAGTATGTTCACCTTCACATGAACCATGTGCTATCAGGGTCTATGTTGGTATCTTGAATATATATTTTTTAATCTGCAGTGATGGGAGGACTGTGGCCATCAAAAAGATCCAAACAAAGACCTTCTCTCTGTCCAAAACCATCAGACAGGAAGTCAAACAAGTCAGGTGACTAAACACACACAAAAATTACCTGAAGCTACAAACACGTTATTTTGACGTTCTCTTTTCATCTTTCTCCAGGGAGCTCGATCATCCAAACCTTTGCAAGTTTATTGGTGGTTGTACTGAGGTGCCAAACGTTGCCATTATAACAGAGTACTGCCCCAAAGGAAGCCTTAACGACGTCCTTCTTAATGATGAGATCCCTCTCAACTGGGGCTTCAGGTAAAGCCACAAGCTCTCATCTACAGACTAAGTTAGATTAAATACTGCATGAGCTGGTGCAGGGATACAGGTTTGGACTAACTGTAGAGCTGTATTTCCCGTGGCTGTCTGCCAGGTTTTCCTTTGCCACCGACATCGCCAGAGGGATGTCGTACCTCCATCAACACAAGATCTGTCACGGTCGGCTGAAGTCTCCAAACTGTGTGTTAGACGACCGCTGGGTCTGCAAAATCACAGGTTTACTGAGCGTGTGCAGTAATGGTTTATGGTGGGGGCTCGTCCGGGATCTAAACAGGATCCCGGGCGAGCCCCCAAAGGATGCTACTCAAAGTAACAGTTTTCACTTGATTTTTGTGTCTCCTCTCAGACTATGGGCTGAGGACATATCGCAGGGACGATGGGACGGAGCCTCTGTCCTCCTATCAGCGGAGGCTCATCGAGGTGTACATGCCACCTGAGTTTCAGAGCTCCAACGTGGAGCCGACACTGGCTGGAGACGTGTTCTGGTGCTACATTAATTTTTATTTCATACCTCTAACCATTCCCTGGAAAGTTTTCTAATATTTATTTTGAATTAAATAAAAAAAAAACTTGTCTAAAAATGTTTATTAGTAAATCTAAGATGTTCTCAAAGCTCAGCTGGTGCCCTCTTGATGCGTGTCTTTGCAGTTATTCAATCATCCTCCTGGAGATAGCCACTCGCAACGACCCGGTTCCCGTAAGTTCCAGTTGTAGATTCTAACAAAGTAAAATCCTCTTCTTCGTTCAATTTTATTTTTAAACCTGTGAACCTGAGGTGTCTCTCTGATGGACTCATGTCCATGGAACAGGACAGGACTTATGGAACAGGTCTCTCTAGTAAATGAGTCCTCATGGCTCAACGAGACTAGCCTGTATAAATAAAGGTTGAACAAATGTCTAATCCTATCCATTTTCATCACTCCAAACAAAAATCTGAACATCTTCACATCTGTCTCCTCCAGATCCTCTTCCTGTCCTTTTATTGGAGCAGCTGTCTCCAAATCAAACACCACAACCGAGTTTTGTAGATTTTATCTCCGTTTAAAACTCATATTGCTCAAAGTTTGGTACAGAGATCAATGAAAGGAACGCTGGACTCAAGCTCAGGTCAAATCTTAAGCTCAGAAGACTCTTACTGCATCTTTAGATGATCGGAGATGTTGTGTGTCTGGTGTGTAGTCGTACACAATGACCCGTTTAGGGTTAAAGGTTATAGTTCTACACACCATATGAGAGTAAATATACTTGTTTAAACATGTTTAGGTACAACAATAAATAGTGTAGGGAGCCATCATATATGATGTGCAGTTAGTTATCATCACGTGGTGCGGGGAGTTGGCATAGACCTCTCCAGACTCTCTTCCACCTGCTCCCTACTCTCACTACAGATCCCAGTGTTGTCTACAAACAGCATAGTAGATGGAGACTCATGTTTCAAAAAACAAATCACAATGAGTTGTGTTCTGCAGGCAGAAGAGTCTAACCTGGAGTGTGCGTGGTGTCCTCCTCTACCTGAGCTGATCTCCAGTAAAGCCGACAACACCTGCCCCTGTCCCGCTGACTACGCTGAGGTACGAGCGACGCTAAACAAAACAGGGTCTATAATTTACTAAACTGATGCTTTTCTGACACAATTCATAAAATTAACTTATTTACTAAATCTGAATCTTTTTTTTTTTTTGGTACTTTGGTTCTGAGTTTAAAAATGAAAGAACGGTGATTTTCTGTCGGGAGAAATGATCCATAAACCTTCGACCTGTTTGTGTTTGTAGCTGATTCGTCGATGTCGCTCTCATAACCCCGCCCACCGACCCACCTTTGACCAGGTCAAGAAGTTTGTTCATCGCATCAACCCTGTCAAAGGCAGCCCGGTGGACATGATGATGAACCTGGTAACACAACAAACACACGACAAAACACACAAACACAAACTGAACATGCACCAATCACACAACAAACACACGACACAACCTAAAAACACACAACAATCGTCAGATTATTCATATTCACTCCACTCAGTGTTTTTGTGTTTTTGTGTGTGTGTGTGTGTGTGTTTATTGTGTTACACTGCTTTCTGCAGATGTGAGGACCAGTCTCAGGTGGACTCACACCTGAGTTGTTGTTGTTGTTTACCTTCATTCCTCCACCTGATTTTAATCTGCATAGCTTCAGACCGTCTCGTCTTTGTTCTCCGAGTTACACCAACCTCCTCTGTTCCAGATGGAGAAGTACAGCAAACATCTGGAGGTTCTGGTGGCCGAGAGGACTCAGGATCTGATGCTGGAGAAACAGAAGACGGACCGCCTGCTGTACAGTACGACACACAAACACTAAAAACAACGATCGGACCAACATGAACATCAGGCCCGATGCTGTCAAAGTCTCTTTAATTCATGAACTGATGAGTTTCTGCTTCCAAATGTTCACTTCCTGTTTGACTCGGTCCACTGTCTGCTTGCAGACGTCACTTCCTGTTTGACTCCGTCCACTGTCTGCTTGCAGACGTCACTTCCTGTTTGACTCCGTCCACTGTCTGCCTGCAGACGTCACTTCCCGTTTGAATCGGTCCACTGTCTGCCTGCAGACGTCACTTCCTGTTTGACTCGGTC